GACTGCCACCGCATCCACCATTATTAACTTGTAGTGGCTTTGTGAGGTCCAAAGATTGGTGTGTAGTGCTCTAAAGCATTTTGCACCAGCCAGGGCCGTCATAGAAGGCTTACTGCCACCATGTTTTCTTCCAATGCGATTAGGACACTTCTAATTGGAATTTCATTATTTATTCTCGTAGAAGGACAAGGTAAGTTTGATGGACGTGGTTAGCTGGAATGTGTTCTTCTAGTTATTACCGCATGTACAGCTTGAATTTTATTTTAAAGGATACTTAATAAGTTTTGGGTTGCAACTAGGTTAGCTTCTTTGGTATGTGGCAGCTTAGCATAATGTTTTTTCGCGCAAATTTGCGCGGAGACATTACGATCGCATGCGATCCCATCACATTTTTCTACTCACACAAGGGCTTCTTCATGATCATGATGGATCTCCGTTGAGATCACGTAGATGGGAAGTTAATATCACTGTCACTTAACCGTTTCTCCTTAGCCGGCCCCTGAAATTTACCGATATTGAAAAACTGGAGAAAATTAGGTCAAGCTTTTTCGTATTTGCGGTAGAATATCCTCTCGCAACAAAGGACCCCTCTTCAATAGTGGAGCATATCGACGTTATGCGTGTGAAATGCGCTTGTCCAGATTCTGAAGGTTCATCAACAGATTTATCGAAAAACATTACTTTCATTCAGAAAACTTTAACAGAAGCAGTCTTTGATACTTTCGTACATTCTAATTTGTGTGTCTAGATGTTTCCATTTACTTGCAAATGTGGGGAACGTTTGTTTTGCGGTAACTCCGGCAGCTCTCCTTTCCCTAGTGGTTTTTTATAGGCCCAGATTTCCCGCTTGTGAAAGTATCTATCGGTTAAGGGTAAAATTAAAAGAAATTGAGCTTTTTGCTTGAACGTAAGAGCTATTTTGTGAGCTAACTTGCCGCAGTTCATAATCGGGCATTGCGTTAGACGGTCACAAAGGGCTTTTGTCTACCGAGCGATCAGCTCACATCTTGGCGCTCCTGGTATGGATCAAATGTAGCTTTGAATTTTCGGTAGAAATTACGACTTCTTCGCTATTTCTAGTGATCATTTGGAATGTTTATATAAGGTGAAAGTGCTCCTTCAGGGATTTTCACTAAACACCAAGATATAGGTGCCAGTGAGTGCGAGAAATTCCATCGGTAACCTACAGCACTAATGATACAAAACAAAATCAAGGAAAAAAAAGAAAGTATTTTATTAGGCGGTTCAAATTTTCAAAATTATCCAAGGGCTAATTAGAGTTATGTAGAGCGATTTTTTTTCAAGTTTTTGAACAAAGAGCACAAAAGAGAGTTGTATTTTATTTTCGTGATTTGAGGTCTCGGCGAAACATGATATGTTTCAAATTCTTTCGGAATTTGCCGAAAAATTGCAAGGGTAAAAAGCGTTACATGATTTGTAAAGGGAGAAATCGTCGCTAAAACATTATGAATACTTCAAGGGAAACAAATTCTATTATCAAAAACAATCTCATGTGATTCTCTGACCGAAAGCTTTCTTTATTTTTGCCAAAAAAAGAGTAAAAATTTTCCAGTCACGATAAATCGTTTACAGTAGTAATAGCGTTACTCTTGCTTGACCTCAGATACTGTTTCATGTTGGACAAAGGCGATTGAGTTATAAAATGAGGTATTCAGTGCTTGCTAAGACATTTTCAAAACGTTTTCTTTTTTCATCTCACTGTTCCATTTGCGTTATTTACTGAAAAAAAAGACGTATCAGAGAAGTTTTAATAAATTAGATTTAGAAATTCTGTCAAAAAATTGTTTACACTCGTTGTGAATCCCTCTTTAAAACTGCGACAGAGGACTCAAAGTTTAAACGGATGCTCTTGATATTTAAGCAAAGGTGAGACCGAGCGAGATTGTCGCTAATTTTGAGGAAACAATGTAAGTTTGTAGTCCATCCCTAAGACTCTTGCAGAGTTACTGTTAAGTGAGGATGCGGCGCCAGGAAAGCCTGGGAACAAGGCTAGTAGAAAACGCGCAGATTTCCCTTTCCTCCGAGAAAATTCTTCAATTACTTCGGGTTGAAAACAGTTGTTTTCGTCGAGATTTCGCAGGCTTGGAATTGCCATGAAGATTTTCCAGAGCGCAAGAAACAGCTAGAAATACAGGTAAGCGGAAAGAACGATAATAATCAATTCTGAGAATGCATGCGATATCGCCATGCAGCGCTACAGCGCTGTAAATTTCACCGCTTCACCTTAACTTTTATTCCTCTCACTGTCAGTTCATATCGTAATTCTAACGCCTGATTAATTTAGTCATACATCAGTGATTGTTGGCATAATTGTATAGTCTCACTGTAATCACGATTCTAACTTTTTGCTCACCACATTATGGTTAGCATTATCAGCTGTTTTCATCAGCTGTGTCAATTACACTAATCGTACTTCAATTTTCAATTCAATATTGCATATATTTCGCTCATCTTACCCTTACCTGAAGGCACAAGTTATGAAAGAAACATTTCTAGGCTATATCTACTCCGCTGAGGAAATAAATATGAAATAAGTTTGAAATAGATTTTGAGAAATGATTCCGTCAAATTTGACGAAGGAGTTCAACACTTATTAACACTTAACTTCCATCCTTACAAATATTAATATAATATCAAGCGGACAAGTGATGGGAATGAAGAAAATATCACTTTAGGGATTATCAGTGGATTCAATTCCAAATTCTCTGAACTCGCATAACTGTATGGTAGATAGTAAGGAGGATTACAAATGAGATCTTGGAAGGGAAAGGGTTAATCAAGATTTTAGTGGTAAACAGTCAATTTTTGGTTTTTTTTTTTTTTGAAAAAATAACCTTTGCACTATTCTTATTCCTTTTTGATAATCATATCATATTTGTGGCCTTGTCACTTGTTCAGATCATTTACCATGTCATGTAGTTGTTTGAAAACTAACAACCGTGAAGCTGTTGTTGCTGTTTGTTTTGTGTCATCTTAATCATTTCCAGTAAAATTAGTTATCACCTCTAATGCAAACTTAATTATTGTCCTTTTAATCCTTCACTGAACAAAATTTTTTCCAGCCTCTCTCCTTTTTCCAAGTCTAGCTAGCTTAGAGTAAACAAGCATTGAAAATTTTACTTGTAATGTGCTGTGTAATGCCTGTCGTTCTAGCATTGTTCCCAGGTTAAGCTAAGAGTAAAAGTAGTTTATTTAAACTGTAAATGTAACTACAACAGCTATATTTAAAAGTAATAGTTGCTGTGTAATATTAATTCCAAAGTTAGCATTTTTTGTTCATCTGTTACTCTCACAAGTGCTGTTCACATCAGACTGAATTTTATGCACAGTTATTGATGTGGTTTAAGTTTGCATGTGAATTAGAAAAAACTGTGTTAAGGAGTTTCTCTACAGGCCAGGTTTCATTTTTTGTATCTCCCACTGGAATAGGGCTTCTTCAATTTACTTCAACAAGTATCAGAAACAGGTCACATAAATTCACCCAAGATTAATGTTAATATTCTCCACACTTTTCCTTTGTATTTCCTATGGTTCTGACAAGGAGAATTTATTTGACTTTGAAGAGCTTCCTAAATTGGTGATTATTTCCTGTATTATCATGACTTTCACATTTGATTTGATGGTGACGATGTAAGGAGAAATTAGTTGGCAATGACTCCTAGGGCTCAATGGTTTATTTGGCAAAAAGGCTGTAGTATGGAACTTTTAGTAGAGCCCACTTGTTTCTTAAATACTCTCTTTAAACTGGGCATCATTACACTTACTTCCAAGATGTGTTTCTGTTTATTTGGCTGGTAAGGTGACATACTTTGATTGGGTTAAATGAATGGAACATTGTTAGATTATATGTGGGATTTACAAGGAATGAATCCTGGCTTGTAAATGTCTTTGTTTATTGGTAATATTATTCAAAGGTGCTTGAAATTCAATTGCAAGTCAATCTCTCAGTTAAAGAGCTTTACTGGACCAAATTTGAAATAATCTAAAGAATTTTAGCTGGATGCCAATAAATATTTATAAGATTCTAATATTCCTAGCTTTAAGAGCTTATCACTAACAGAATTACAGCACAAAATCATTTCACATACTACAGCTTTGCCACTTGCTTCAATCCTGTAAGCAGCACCATCTTGGCTCTGCTTCTTCCTTGAATTGAACATACCATTTATCTCTAATTAAGTCCTTTACACTTTAACATCAGTATGCATATTCTCCTTACTTTTCTCTACACATTTCCAGAAGTACCGATGAGGAGAATTTGTTTAACAATCGAGAGTTTCTCTAGTTGGTAATCATTCGCATGACCTTGATGTGACGTGCTACTTTTAGGGTGATTTTGTAAGGAGAAATTAGATGCTAGTCACTCTTGGGGGTTAGAGCACTATTGGACTGAGTGTTGTAAACCAAAACTAAACTAATCACAATAAAAACAAAGCAGAGGAAATATCACACAAAGCTGATACAAACTCTCAATCTCAAATTGGCTAGGACTTCCCCTTTCTCATCTAAAAGCTTATTGCAGTGAATTCTCACAATCTTTTCGTGTCTGTTTTACTTTGGCCTTTTTTGCTTTACTTATGACATTTTCATAACTATTTTATTCCAGTAAATGATAGCCCATGTCCACTTGACAAGGTTATTAACTGTAAAGATGACACTAATGACTGCATATTGAACGAAGACTGCCCAAAGCTTGCAAACCGTCTTCCACCATATTGCTGCTATAATGGATGTAACTACTATTGTTTCTATAATTGTAAGTTGCCATTGATTGTAATTAACAGCTTTCAGAAGCTGTGCAACACTGATGGAGAGGTATGCTCTTTTCATTTATACATAAAAAAAACTGTAAACAATCATGGAACTTTTGTCAGTCACAATAAAAAGTAAAGTTTTCTAAAAGATGGTTTTTTTTCTGTAAGCTGCCACATACCAAAAGTCAGGGGTGCAAATAAGAAAAGTATTATTTTGTACAACTCATGGCTTACATTTTTTATTTTTCTGTAGATCCAGTTGCCACACTTCCTCCCATAGTAAGTACTACTCACTATTCTGTTGTTGTTAGCCTTAACACCCTTACATTGATCAGCATGCACATTCTCCTTACTGTTCCCTTTACATTTTCCATTCTGTTACCAAGGAGAATTTGCAATTGATGGTTAAGTGATTCTTTAGCATGCAAGTATCATTTCCTTATTTTCTCAGGACCTTTATGTTTGGTTTGTTAGTGACACTGAGAGAAGAGATCAGATTTTAGACTCTGTAACAGGGGTTAAAGGATTGTGGAGGTCCCATAGTCAAACAGTATGGCAGTTGATATGAAGAGTTCTCAAAAGATCTGAGGATTGAAAGCATAGATTTACTCTAGCTGTAGTATGTAAATTTTGAAATATTGAGGGAACTTTTCCACATTGACCCTAATGTAAGAGAGCTCAGTGATGTTTCAGTTTCTTCTCTCATGCTGTGTGGATTTTCCAGCAGGAAAGCTCATTTACTGTTGACTTCTTTTTAACATTATAGCCAGGAAACCCAGGTTCTCGAGGACCAAATGGTGATCCAGTAAGTCAATATCCTGACTTTTTATCAAAAATCCTCTCTAGGAGTTGAATGACTGATCAAGGAAGCATAAGAATTGGTGTTGTCTATGTTTTCTAAATATATTGATTCAATCAGAAGGTAGTATCTTAATGAAAGTTTTGTGTTAAACTTATGTACATGAAGACCTACAGTAGTTACAAAATTCCATTATGACAGCTTTTCAACAAAATGTAACAGCTTTTGTGTGCCAAAATTGTTTACAATTTCTCATGGTAACTAAAACAATGAAAGTTTCAAGTGCTAAATAATGAAATGCTTTGACCAGTTAAATATGGTGCCCAAATTGTGTACAATTTCCCTTGGCAGCTAAAACAATGAAAGCTCCAAGTGCTAAATAATTATTTAACTTTTTAGACCAGTGATACTTGGTGCCTACTTTTTTCTCATTATGTAATCAATAAGTGTAGTACTATAAATAAATCAGCTCATATATTGGATCACTTTCTCTGGAAAACGATTCACCTCGGTGTTGTTATTTTTAAATGTTGAAACAAATTTATTAAGTGTGAGGAAATACTGTTGGAAGTATGCAGGCATAAATTTTGGGCCATATATATAAGCAGCAAACATATACACGTGTACATGAAGTAATCCCAATGAGCAAGCAATGAATGATCTAACAATGATGTACACATTCAGGGTTGTCAGTTATTTTGTGGCTTTCGAACATGTAACTGCTAGGTTTATGTAGGAGTATTGAAATAAGCTTTTTTAACCTATACTCATTGTCATAGTAAGTTCCTATAACATTACCAAAAAGTGGTTAATTTGATAAGACAGTTATTCCATTCATGCCTGTTTGATAGAAAAATGGTTTTAGCAACCTGGTTGGCTATTTATCATATTCTATTCCACACACTCTCATGGAATAATTGTTAAATATTCTGCAGAGTATGTCTATGAGTTTTTATGGTGTTTTTCTGATGATTTTTTTCCTCAATAGGGTGACCGTGGAGAGCCAGGCCCCCCAGGTCCTCCTGGACCCAGAGGATATAGTGTATGTACTGTTTTAATCATGTTCCAAATAGCTTGTGTCCAAAAATCGACAAATTCTTTGGCAGAGGATCACTACTCAACAGCAAACTTAATTCAAAATGGCAATTGCTTATGGAATAATACATGAGCACCCTTGTTATTGAATTTTTCTTCTCGTGTTCATTTTGATAACTCACAAGTGATTGGTGGGAATGAAAGAGATATCAAGTTGAACACAAGAAGAGAAATTCCATGCCTAAAGGAATCCATGTATTATTTTGTTTATTAAATAAACACCTTTTGGCCTTAATGATGAGAAAATTCAATAAACAACCTCGCATTGAAAATGATGAAGGTGTTGCCATTCATTCATCAACCTGTCAGAGTGGACCGAAAGATAAATGACATGTCAGCAGCTGATTGGTGGTATCTCACATATATAAAAAAAACTATTGTAATTTTACATACATGCAGTTGCTGCTTTTCTCAGGGCTAGAAAACCTTGTAAAATACCACAGTCAATAGCAAAAAAGGCAGTGGCCTTCACTTGGGCTTCCTTCCATGACAGGGGTGTTACTAAATGGAGTAATGTATTAATGAGTATATGATGTTGTTAGTAAGTCATTCTGTTACTCTTTGGAGGCTTTTAGAGCAATCTCATAGAGTGAGACTAAAATTTTTTTGTGGATTTACTTCATTTCTTTTAATAGCCCCTTGCCTTGAACATCCATATTTTCATAAAAAAAAAAAAAACTTAATAATTTTCTCTGAGCATCTTTGGATGAAAAAAATTATGAGTTTTGGTGCAAACCCAACACTATTGTGTATTGTTTCAATTGTTTAAAATGTGATGTGAAAAACAAGCCATGAAAGCAGTTGGAGGTTGTTGGCTGATGATTAAATTAGATACCCGACACCTGCACAGAATTCCCACAAGTGTCATTTTGGAAGATAAATGACAACCCTAAACAAACTTAAAACTTGAGCTTTCAACAGGAAGCTTAAGAAAAAGTTATACCTCACATCATGATAGATCTGCAATGCATAAATGGTAGAACAATGTTGTGATCTCTAAACTTCTTGTGGCCTGTGTTACAGGGTGACCCTGGAAGACCTGGTCCGAGAGGTGAAGCAGGAGAGGCTGGACCCGAGGGACCAGCAGGGCCTCCAGGAGGTTCAGTTGGAAGTGTTAGTACCTTCCTGTCTCTTGACTTAAATTTAGAAAATGAGAGAATCATTTATTTTACCAACAATGTCTGAAATTGTTTCTGGAAGTTCTTTAGTTTGAGATCAAGGAAGAAAAACTTTTACCTCAACTTGCTATGGAGACTGAAATGGTCACTGCTTGGAGAGCTGTTTACTTTAGGGATATGAAGGAGAACTATGTTCACGAAACAATTTATTCATTGTGATCTCTACTATTTAACTACACCTATAGAGTGTCAAATATAAACTATAGAGTCCATGCCTCTATGGGTTAGCAGTGTCTTTTGAGATCATCTAAATAACAAATTTCTGAGTTCTCCATACAGTTTTCTGTACACTTCCAATGATACTTACAAGGAGGATTTATCGAACAATCAGGGGCTTCTTTATTTTGCCTTCACTTTCTTTATTCTCATAACCTCAACGTGTGATTCAGGGTTGATGACGTTGGGAAAAATTAGATGTTTATCACTCTAAAATGTCATTAACCCTTTAAATCCCATGAATGACCAAGACAGAATTTCTCCTCAAAATATCAATACAATAACAACCGGGTAAATGATGAGAATAAAGAAAAATGTCGATTTGGGGATAATTAGTTGATCCAGTAGTAAATTCCCTGAACTAATATTGTAAGAATTGTATGGTTGACAGTAAGGAGAATTACAAATTTGATCTGGGAGTTAAAGGGTTAATTAATGAGGGTACATGCAAAGCCTTTGGTCTGAAAATCGATGTTCATTCTTATGCTAATGAGATATATTTTCCATCAGCCTCATTTTGAAAGTGAGGGTCTTTGGAACTTGGAAATGGCTCGCTAGTTGCATATGGTGGATGAAAAAATATTTTGAAGCTTTCCTGGAAAAAAAGAGAGAAATGTCTTTAAAAGAGTTTCTGTAATTTATGAGAGAAGTACACTCAAAAGTCCATGCAAGGAAGGGGCTCTGCTGAATGTTAAACATTGTATATATTTTTAAATAATTTAACCCTTCAACTTCCAAGATCCGATTGTTAATTCTCTCTTCTAGCTGCCACACATTTCCTTGTAAATTAGTTATGAGAATTTGGTGTTAGATGAAGATAACAACTTTTACCTAATACATTTGAGTGTCCTCATTACCTGTTTGCTGGATAGTCTATGGATATTGTAGGGAGAAGGTACTTGTTGATCACTTCTGGGAGTTGGGTTAAGGTGTATATTGATCATTTCAGGCTGGAGTAAAAGGACCCGATCCTGGTCTCAGCCGGGATGGTATCAAAGGCGAAACTGGCCCTCCAGTAAGTCTTTCCAACTGTATTTCTATAAATCTTATTTTTTATCCTTTTGCGGTACAAAATCTAGAATGTCAACCTAGTGAACTTTACAAATAGTTGTATCTTTGAACATGATGCATAACAAGTTTGCTTGAAATTTCATAAATGTTTCTGATTTGTGCCTCATCTGAGACAAAATGCTACATCATTTATATCTGACTGCATTATGTAAAAAAAATGTATGTTTGGTAAATCAGATTGACTAAGATCCTAGCAGGTAAACTGCTATTAGAGAAACTGCAGACAAAAAAGCTGAGGAAAATGAAGGCTGGGTTGGAATTCAGACTCCTGCCTTTCAGACTGAGCCCACTTACCAACTGAGCTATGAAGTCACTTGGTGAAACCTGGCAAATATTAGAGAAATTTTTGTTCCTATTTAAAAAAATTCGATTACAATCCAGTGAAACAGATAACATTGTGACTGCAGATTATATAGAAATAAAGAAATGCTCCTTGCAGGCGAGCTGCAATTGAAGAAATTGCACAGAAGACAATTAAACAGTTGGTGAACTAGAATGTGGAGTAATTGTTGATCATGTTGTCGTAACAAACAGAGAAGGTTTGGGTGATAGTGATTAATGCACTCTTGAGTTAGGTAAGAAAAAATGTCATCAAATATTAATATTATGTGAATTTTTTATAAAACTAGGGTCCCAGAGGACCTCCAGGAAGCCCAGGAAAACGTGGACCCCCAGTAAGTACAGAATACTTTTTAAACTTTTTTCTTTACCTTTTTTTGGGTATTATTTCCTTATGTCTCAGTACTCAGTACTTTATTAAGATGGTCAGGTACTTTGTATGCATTTTGATTGCAACAGAACCATTTTCTCACCTTTTAGGGGTCAAATGGGGGAGCAGGACAGCCCGGTAAACAAGGAGATACAGGACCCCCTGTAAGTGGAGATAAAACTATGAATTAATGCACACATTTGAAGTACAGCAGTTGTACTAAAGGTGGCATTTCAGGGCCATGACATCCACTCTCAGTGATATCCTTTCAATGGTGCTTGTGATAACTGTTTATATTCAATGCTATAGTAACAATTTTCAACAAAAGTTTAACCGGGTACCAACAACTTTCAAAGATCTTAATTGTTGTTTTTAAATCATGTACCTCTTATGTATTTATAGATATATTTATGAATTGTTTGAACTTTCCATTTCAAAGCACCATGAATTCATGGATAGGACACTAAATTTATAGCTTACATATGTTGAAATTTCATCCAGTTTTAAGTTGTGATTTGTAGAATTGGCTTAAAACACCTCTTCATTAATACGAATTGTTCAGGTTCTCATTATGAAATGTATCAGGAAATAAAATTAAATATAATAGCTTTGTTGTCACAATGTTGCTAGAGAATTTGGCACAGTAGCAGGGGATTCTGCAATCACATTTTCCCAGGAGCTCTTCATTGCTGTGCTGAACTGTGTCATAATCTGGTTTGATAAGGTATTTTTCTGGTTTGCTTTCAGGGTCGTCCTGGTCCGCCAGGACCCAGAGGAGAAGCTGGACTTGATGGTTTTGATGTAAGTCGAAGTAAAGTACAGTTGTGCCAGGTTAAACTGGGCCATCAGCAATGACAAAACCACACAGCAGCCAGGTTGTGCTGGATGCCGTGTTGTTTCGTTGCAAGATTTGGGACTAGGCCTTCCATCATGGTAAAATGAGGTGAAAGTCTTGGCCTTAAAATGGCAGGCTAGCTAACAGCTTTGATGGGCTCTTATTGATAGCTCTGAATCAGCTAACATCTGAAATGTTGGGCCTTTGTGGTCCTTAATGAAAATGAGTCTAATTAAAGTGATGGAACAGTTTTATTCATAGCGTTTTCATGGTATTGTTGCATCTAGTCATTTGCATGGGCTTTACATTAAGGAAGCTATAATGTGAACCTGGATTCTACTATATTTTGGCAAAGATGCATCTTTTTGGATTGGCTACCCAAATCAAAAGTTTTATGAAGTGGTAATTTTCTGAAGAAACTGTGGTGCTGTGTTGTTAGGGAGTATTACAAGATGATTTAGTTTTGTCAACTGAGTTGATCATGGATATTGGCCACCATCAAGATTTTCTAAAGCTGATAATTAAAAAGAGCGTTAACTCTTGGTCATTAGCTGACTAAGGGCTTACGCTTGAAACTTAAGCTGCAGAAACTCCTTACAGCAGCTAATATACATAATCAACTTAGTTGACATTCATAGGTTGTTATAGCATTGTTCGTGGCCAGGAGTGTAAATGGGTACCAGCAACTGTCAGGGGATGCAGGGGGGTTGGCTTATGATGCACCTTTATCCTGCTCTGAAGGTGTAGCAGATACTCCTTTCTGCTCAGCATCATGGGAATAAGGATGGGCATGTATGATCTATAATGTGGTTCTGAATCAGTGTGTAATGTATGTCATAGGGTGACCCTGGAGAACCTGGACTTAATGGAGAGGGTGGTCCACCTGGTGCACCAGTAAGTAATGCATTTCATAACTGCTGGTTATAAACCTGTAACATTTATGAGATCCTTATTCAGTTGGGACTTTATACCAAGGTGTGTTGATATGAAATACTTGTTGTGTTGTTTGTTGGTTGACACTGAATAGCACCAGAAGGGGTGTGGTCCTTCAAGGAAGGGTCAGTGATGAAGACAAGAGCAAGAATGACATGCAAAAAGATATGAATGATCAGGAAACACGTGTCAAATGTTGAACCACTTTGTGTGCATGCCAATAGTGTAAAAGTACTAATCATCCTAAGAATCTATAAGAAACAATTGCCTATACAGCTACTATAATCTCTAGGACAAAATCCCAGGTAATTTAAAAAAATCCTAACGTCTTCAAAAAAAGGAAAACTTTCTTTACTGCCAGAACAACACTGCAAACATTTGTCTTAGTATCAACCTTTCCTTTGGTATCATTATTATATATATATTATTACTAACTATTTTCTAGAAGTATATTTCTGCTCTCCCTCATTTGTCTTATTTTAGCAAGTTAACTGAACTTAAGGCTGGCTTGAATACTTAACAGTCTTTTAGCCTTCTGGCCCTTCATTTCTCCTATTTCTTAGTGTGCCTATAAATGTTTTCTATTATAAATCTGTAATGTGCAACAGTAAATAAAAATATTATCATCATTATTATTTTTCTAGTCTAGTTTATTAGCAGGTGATCTTACATGTATGTCCATTTTTCAGGGTCCCCCAGGACCACCTGGTCTGGCTGGTGATGTGGGTCATAAGGGAGATGTGGTAAGAATGGAAAACTGAATCTCTTTGTGCTGTAATTTCAAATCCTTCTGAACAATCGAGGTGGTTTTTCAATGTTTAGGGTAATTATTTTTCAAAATCAACTGTGAGGTTATAAAAAAAAAAACAAAAAAACAGTAGCTTGTGTTTGAAATGAGCAATATAGTTGGCAAGAGAGAAGGATACACTGCTTTATTTTATGCAAATGTTTAATCACACTTTAAACTTAGACCATAATGACTTCATTAATGTCAATTTTGATCTGTGTTTGCTGACCTCTGTACATAGGTTGTCCTTTGTTTGTCACATGGCAAATTTAGTCACCAACACTTTTTCCTTCTTGATTTGGTGATTAATGTGGTTGAAAAGGATCTCAGAAGGATGAACTAATTTGCCACTTTATCAATAATCAACAAGAAAACCACCTTTAATAGAATTTGTTCATCTCTGTCAACTACTCCAACTTGAAAAACTTGAAAGGAAAAACCGAGGGACAGTTAGTAATGACTTTTATTGTGGTTTTCCTTCAGGGAGAAAAAGGACCTAAAGGAAGTAAAGGAAACTCTGGAGTTCCTGGTGAAAGGGTAGGACTAAAACCTCTTATTTTATCTTCACAGTCATTTTTGTAAATGGTTGATGGTGTTTACAATTCTAAGTTCAAAGCCCAGTGCTGTGTTTCAGAAAAAGCTGTGTGCCATGGGCAATCAAATTTGGGTGATTCCTCTTAATGGATAGCTTTGAAGACACTGCTAATTATGTTGTTAGCCAAAAGAATAACTTGAGAACTTGTGGGAATTTTTGTTGTAATATACTTGGTAAGTTAAACTTCAAAATGCTGATTGGTGGTGTTTGTAGCATGAGCTATTCCAACCTGAAGCATCTCTTTACTCTCTACACCCCAACATCAGTATGCATGTTCTCCATACTGTTCATGCAATCACAATTTCCTTTAGCTGGCAATAATCTTCCCTATTTTCACAGCCTTATTACTGGATTTAGAGGTGATATTTCAGTGAGAAATTGGATGCTAGTTACTCTAAGGTGAAATTGTTAGGGAAAATCTTTGATTAGTTGCACAGTTTTGGGATGAAGAAAATGTATCTGGCAAGTAATGATCAGTAACAAGGCTAATTTGATTTATTTAATAAACGATCTTAACACAAATATCTATATTTTTTCTAGGGATCACCTGGTACTGCTGGGACCCCTGGTTATGATGGACAACCTGTAAGTTTCTTGCCTAAATACTCTAAAATATGTGTTTTAGTCTAGTTGCTCACCTCTGCTTGAGTGCATTCAAGATGTAGAATCCCTTCCAGATTTTTCTTTTTTTGCTTTTGGTTTTCTCTTTGGCATTTAAACCTGTCCTTGAAACAGTTGTTGGCACATGGTTTGTAGATCCAGTACTTCATCACATTGCAAATTAATACCAATAAGTTGGGAGATATATCTTTTCCTTGAAAGTTGTACCTCATGAGTTTGTAGAAACATGACTTGAATTAACTTTCTGGCCCCAGTTGTTTGAAGGCTGGGTATTGCTATGCACTGGATAAATCTTAATCCAGTGGATGGCACAACACATTCTGTTACCATTTATTGGCTGGAAAGCAAATTATCCAAAGCATAGCATTATTTCCCTTTTGAACAACTGGGCCTGCGGCTAGTTTGTACTAGATAAATATGTGTCAATAAGCAGAAACTTTGAACTGTTTCAAAGAAATGACTTAAAGTAGCAGAGTCAAATCCTTGGTTCCTTCATTTTCTTTTCTCTTGGCAAGGACTTTGTGAGGCTGATATTTACAGAAAATAATAAGGTAGTAAAAACAGACATAATTGCGGTCTGATAAGTTTGCATGCCTTCAGCTGAGCACAAGCAAGCAAATGCGCATCAGCTGCCCACCAGGCTTTAGTGGATTGATGGAGATAAATACCAAGAAAGTGTAAAAAGTTTTATCTGCCTTTTCACACATACATTTACCACTTTCTGCCATTTGGTTTCAGAGGATTAACCAAACTTTCTGTTATGATTTTAGGGAGAACCTGGATTGGTTGGTAGCACAGGAAAGCCTGGGCGAAAAGGACCAGTTGGTCAGAGAGGAAATGAGGGGCCCCCTGGACCACAAGGACGCCTGGTATGAATTTAATCCTATAAATTTTGCGGTAACTTGTGTCATTCAATGATTTTACAAATACTCTAGCAGTCTTATCATCTCAAAATTTGCAGTTGTCTCAAGTAAGCCTCTTGTTTTCTCATTCACCTAAAGGATAGTCATCTTCCTAGCTGGTCTTTTAAATTTGTGACTTCCTTAGTGGATAAACGTGCGTCAACATAGGCTTTAAAGACAGCTTTGTCACTCTTCAGAAGAAGCAAATCCTCTGTTTGATGAGGAAATGTGTTGATTGACTATGAAAGTTTGTAACTGTGGATAAAAAAAACTCTTCCATACTGAATTTAACTGTTGAAACTTTCACTACAAATCTGAATTACTATGATCCTTATTGAACATTGTATAAATTTAAGACCTGTGACAATAGTGTAATACAACCAAGTGACATACAAAAAGTCTTTTAAAAAAAAACCAAGGCAAATTACCCTCAAAACCCCAAGGGTTCACCTTTTTTGAAACAGCAAGGACACATGACTCACTCATCACAGGTGACTTCTCTTCCAAAAGAAATTGGTGCCTTATTCATGGGAATCATGAAATTGGAAGAAGGCATGCAACAGCAGTTACAAAGTTTATATTCTGAAAATTGCTTCCCTGAGGATTTCATGAGAACAGTCTGATGATTCAATGTCTTAAGAATGAGTGTCTTCAAGTTAAGAAGCATGTCAATGTCTTAAGAATGAGTGTCCTCCAGTTAAGAAGCATGCAAAATTTTCAAAACATCTCAAGCAAGGATTTTCATCTTGATTTCAACATTTAGGTCCCTTAACCCTCAACACCCTAACATTAGTATGCATATTCACCATTATACTGTTATCTGTGCATTTCCTAAGTTGCAGACAAGGAGAATTTGTTTAACAATCAAGAGCTTCTTTAGTTTGCCATCGTTTCCTCTATTCTTGTGACCTCCTAAGCTAGTCACTCTTAATTGTTAAAGGTTTCAGGAGAATGCCAGGTGTTGGAAAATATCAGTCTTTGTTGGATGGGTACTAGAACAGAAACCAATTGAGTTTAGTTATTAGCTGTTTCATTTCCTTTGTGTTATTGGCAGTGAATTAACCAAAAGCATGGACATCTTTTCCTCATCAGGGTCTAAGAGGACAAAGAGGGCCTGCAGGTCCAGCAGGTATTTCAGGACCTAAAGGGGACGCTGGCGAACCAGGTATACAAGGAAGAACTGGAGATCTGGGTGAGCAAGGTCCTCAAGGTATAGCAGGAGCAAAGGGTGAAAATGGAAGAGATGGGGCATCGGGCAAGAGTGGAGTACCAGGAGAAAAAGGATCAGTTGTATGTATATGTGTTGTCTTCAATCCCTTGTCCTTAACCTTTTACACCATGTCATCAGTATGCATATTCTCGTTACAGTTTTCATTTATGTTCTAAGGTGCTAACAAGAAGAATTTGTGTAACAATCAAGAGCTTCTCTGATCGGTGATCATTTCTTTATTCTCATGACCTTTATATTTAACTATATGAAAGTTTTTGTAAGGAGAAATTAGATGCCAGTCACTCACCAGGAGTACAGAGTTAAAGGAAACCTCCTATGATCTACAGCTGAATTAGATAAAACTTGACAAGGATTAAAAAGAATTACCCATTCATAATTACCACATAAACTTTGTTTTTGTACAATTTTTGTAAAAAAAAATTTTAATGAGTCAGTTCATTTTGCAAATAGAGACATGATATCTACAACAGTATTACTCAGATGAAAACTTTATTTATTTGGCTCTGCAAAAAATCTGTATAGATTCAGGATTGTTACCAAGGTCCTGAAACATTTCAAGGATTTTGATGTAAAATGTTTAAAAGAACTGTTAGTAATTATTTAAAATGAAACAATATTAATGTTTTCAATGCTCTAACAATTTTTTGGGGTAAGTTTGATACATGATAGACAATATATTTTGGTTCTCTCCCATTTCTGTGTGCAAACCAAACTCAGGACCAAAGAAGGCTCTTTTTTTATTTTCAAATTTGAAATTTGAAATTTGTCAAAGAAGGGAATTACCTTTATCTCTTTCATAAACTTCTGCCAGCAAAATACTGATAACTAGGTGTTCTATTCACTATAAGTAAAGAGAACTAGAAAAACTCCATTTGTTGCCTTATTTTAGGGAGTCACTGGAGAAACAGGTCCCCAAGGTCAACGAGGAGCTCCTGGAAATGCTGTTAGTACTGTTGTCACCAAGACACATTGGCTTTTACTTTGTTATTGTAGCATCAAGGAGGAGGGGAGGACCCCCCCATCAGAGCTTTGGGTGTTTTTTAAAACTTGTCTGAAACCAAAATTCTTCCAACAAGGGAATTGTTTGTTTACAGAGCCCATTAAGTGCATTAAATTACACTTTCAATTTTAAATCTTCCTTGAAGTTTTTCCCATATTCTCATTTTTTGCTTGACTTTTTCCTGACATTTTTTCCAACTTTCTGCGGGAGGTTGCTGACCCCAATCTAGTTACTGCTGTTGACTTGACAAACATTGCAGATTCATATTGTTGTTAAAACAAGATATTTTTCTCTTCTGTGGGATGCCAAAATGGCCAGCACTTTTGCCATGCTTCTAATTCTGACATTTGTTTTGAAAACGTCCACATGTGATGGCATTCAACTTGCAAACTATATTCCTTTGTTGTAGGAATACCACACTGGATGTGATGACCTAACTGAAAGCTATTTTTATGTTGGCCTGGAGTGATTCCCCTTCAAAATCAATGTTGAGAAAAAAGTCAGGAAAATAGTCATAAAAAAAGTTGAGAAAAAAGTTGGGAGAAAAGTGGGAAATAAGCCAGGAAAAAAAATGAGAATATGGGAAAATTTCTTTGTCTCAAAATATCTTGTGGCTTATAAAGGATGTAGTGCCAAAAAAGAAGAATTCTTTGTTTCGATATCCCCACCCCAGTATTATTTTTTTGTTATTTGCTCCTTACTCTGATATGTGGCATGTATTCAGCGCTGTGCTTACTGACTTGGTATTGCAGTTTTAAGTGTTCAGTAGAAGTTTTTCTTGTTTATCAGATTTACTTTGTCATGCAATGAGAAATTTCTTTGCATTAATTAATTTCTCTTTTGCCTCACAGGGTGTTCCAGGTGCTCGAGGAAGTTCAGGTCCTCCTGGTGACAGAGTAAGTGCTAAGAGTGTACAATGGTAGTAGGTGTGCTGGCTTTGTGGTCAGTGTGTTGGACTTCAGGTGGGAAACATAGTGGTTTGTTTCTTCAAATGGAGAGGTGAAGGTTTGAGATCTGGCTGGTTCATTGTCTTGTGTTTCTGGCAAGGCATTTCACCCTCATATTGCCTCTCTCCACCCAAGGGTATGAATGATTACCAGTCTGGGAAACTTTATAAATTTTTTTTTTTTTGGAGGGGGGGGGGAGGGACCTGCATTGGACTGGTATAACATCTGTCACTGACTTCATGTCACTCCAGATAAGAAGGTCTCTATTTAAGCCCTGGGGGTACTTTGTTGTATCCTCATGTAAAACATCCCACTCATAATGTCTCTGTCAATCCTGGACTATTAATAGACGCCATGAAACTGTCAGGTGCCAAAATGCCAGGTCCTAGCTAGGTCATGCTATTGAAGCTTGGATCAGTTTGTGGGCTCCTTAGCTGACTTCACCTTTCAGTGGTTGTAAGCAAGTCTGTGTATGCTGGGGCTTATCCAGTGTCTTTTTTTAAAAACTGAAATGTCTTCCATTGCCATAGGGTCGACCTGGTCGCCCAGGTTTGCGAGGATCCAAGGGAGAAAAAGGAGGCCAAGTAAGTTATTAACCAAGAAAACCTTCAACCCTTTACACCCTAATATTAGTAAGTACATCGTAACAACAGTTTGTGTATTCTCTATAAAGTTCTCTGTACATTTCCCAAGGTACTGATAAGGAGAATTTTTTGAACAATCAAGAGCTTATTTTATTAGCAGGCAATCATTTCCTTTATCTCATGACTAGACTTTGAAGGGTTGTACCTCATTAATGATGAATTTCCAGCAGAGCAGCTAAAATGGATATCAATTAAAAAGATTGTGTAAATGAACCTCGAATAGCAAATTGCAAGGTTATTCATTGGTTTTTATATCATTGACTTTGATTTGATCTTTTCTAGGGACCTCCAGGTCCAATTGGGGAACCTGGACCTTCTGGTTCTACCGGCAGACGGGTGAGAATTTTACCTTAATTATCACATTTACCCACCATATGGGTTTTTATGACTTTTGCATTTACAACCTTAAACCTTTTAAGTTTGCCTATCTCTATGTTTTGAATTGATCTTAATTGTAAATGAAGGCCAGAATATATGTTTTTTCATCAATTTTTTCAGGGTCAAACTGGTGCAACGGGCCCCCCTGGTCCAGTTGGTGCACCAGGTGCTCAGGTAAGTACATCAAAACTTCAGTTTGGTTAACTGTGAAAGATATAAGCCTCATTCTGTACTTTCCTAGACAGCTAAGTGAGATACTGGACAGAGATCCAGCATCATTTGCTCGACAGCTTCAATTTAGAAAACTTTTGTATTTATTCAGTTACTGTTTATTTCAGGGTCCTCCTGGTCTTCGTGGATCACCTGGTCCTGATGGTACTCCTGGTCGAAAGGTAACTTTTTGAGATTTGTCTTCATTTCCTCTGACAAGTGGAATCAAATCCTGCTGTTTATGTTTGAATGTAACTCTGGCTGGCCTCTTGTACTTTACGCAAGGAGTTGCACCCATCCAAAACATTGTTTAGTCATAGGCAGAAAGACAACAACATGTGCTGATAGACAAAATTCTTCTGGCTCCTTAGATAAAAATCCAGTTTCAGCAAAATATATATAAGCTAAACATGTGTCTTCTATTAAGCTGTCAAAACTTGAACCATGATGCAAAATTGTCTCAGAAGTGTTCTGCAAAACCATTCTTACTAAAAAGAGAGAAATGATCCAGTGATCTGTTCAAAAGCCTTATCTACTCTAGAAAGGAACAAAATGAAAGCAAGATAATAGGGACAGCAAATAAGACATGGAAACTAAGCTCTAGACAAATTCACTTCTGACTGTATAGGATCGTAGTCACACTTAATTTGAAAGGTAGCACTAAATAGTTTGTCCATGATTTATGAACTGTGCAGGGATCAACTGGAGCACCTGGAGAGAATGGTTTCAATGGAGCAAAGGGAGATAAGGTAAGCTGAGAAACAGAGGAGAACCAGTCAAACGTCTTTTGAAGCTGAAGTCATTCTCAATCTCTAAACATGTGATTTTTTAATGGTATTAAGGTATCTAGAGGAGAACCAATAAAATGTGAAAATCCAAAATTAAACTTCAAGTTAGCTCCCATAGGCTATATGATGTGGGTTTCAAAACAGTCACCTGATCTATTGATAAGGTCATCTTTTGCATGACTTTTTTAACCCTTAACAAAACTTGTACCTCTTGTTTTCTAGGGATCTGCAGGTGAACGTGGTGAACCTGGCCGAGTTGGTGCAAAGGTGAGAAATGAAGAAAGTAATAATTCATGGTTTAGCCCTTTGTGCCCTCGCATCAGTGATCAGTATGCATTTTCTCTTTACTGTCCTTCATACATTTCCTAGGGTTCTGACAAGGAGAATTTGTGTAACACGCAGTAGCTTCTTTAGTGGGTGATCTTTAATTCTTGTGACTGTAATATGTGATTTAAGGGTGAAAGGAGAAATGAGGTACTAGTCACTCTTTAGGGTCAGAGGGTTGATTCCAGATATTCTCGACAATTCTTCCTGATCTTGCTCTCTTTTCAAGAAAGAAAGGGCCTGGTAGCATCATTTTGTTTACATTGTTTACATTGTTTACATTGTTTACACAAGTTGGATATCTATTCTTTTATTTCGTTTTGTTTTTAACTTTTTCTTGTTTATTTAGGTCTGGGAAAGAGTTGCATTATTTTTTAAGGGTCATAGGATAATGGAAACGGGATGATTGGGACAGGGTATTATTTGATTATATTAACCTAAGATATGACTATGCTGTGGTTCTTGGCTTGTTAGGTGACATTTTTGAGACTTTTCTCAATGCCTTATTAATGTGCTGTTTCTTCCTTAGGGGCCCACAGGTCAACCAGGGGTACCCGGACGAGATGGCAAGACTGGTGCACCGGTATGTACAACTTGACAGTTAATCAAGGCATAAAGTCCCTATATAACATTCTGCCGTTTGTCAAACTATACGGAAGTTCTGGGAATTGATTGGTTGCTGCTAACCAGATTTGGGCTTTAATTTTGCTGTGTACATTTATGCATGATAATGAACCTTTATTCTCATGACATCAATGTGCGATTTGTGATTTAGGGGTGATATTTTAAGGAGAAATTAGATGCTAGTCACTCTTAGTAGTTAAAGAGTTAAAATTTACTTGCATGTCATAAACTTTGTGATCAGTCACTTTCTTATTTGCCGGTCAATCAAATCAAGGTGATGTTGTTCTTTTAGGGTGACCCTGGAGCAGATGGTTCATCAGGAGCTCCTGGCCAGCAGGTATAAGAACATACAAGAGATTTTTTTCATTAGGCAGAATTAAGATGCTTGGAATCCCTTTTGTGCAAAAGTTGGGAACAATTTTTTCACTGACTTTAGGGTTATTTGAAGGCTTTTCACGTCATTTCAGTGAGACCCAATACAAGGGTAGTCATTGGACGCTGGTATATTTATTCACTTGTTTATTTGTATTGTTAGGGTGCACAAGGGAATCCTGGACCTAGTGGACTTACTGGACCAAAAGGATCAATGGTGAATGATTATGAAAATGATAGTGATATTCACTGTGATAATTGTATTAAAAGTTAAAAAATATTGGTGATAGAGAGGTAAAAGATGAGCTCTTGTTAAGCAATCATGTGGCACTTTATTGATGCTATTTTCAAGGAAAGAATTTTGAAAGTGTGGAGACTTTCACCCTCCAGAGAATTGATTTTGTAAACCAGCAACTTTGCATTGAGCTATAATAAAATTGATAATATTGATATCAATATTAATAGTAATAATAACTATAATAATTTATTGGTAATGATATTATTGTACATTGTGTTAGGGAGAGCCAGGTGTGGATGGTGACCCAGGGGCACCAGGTGCTCAAGGAGCAAAGGTAACTGACTCTTCAGAGTTAGTTCTTAGCTGTAACAGACAAATAAAAGATATATTAGTAGTTATCTTCTCTTAGTTGTGGCATGGTCTGGTTATCTTTGCACTCTGAATTTAAAGGTTAAAATCTAAAAATTTTAGAAATCCTTTAAAATTTTTGCATACCAATTTTAATTGGAGTGGTTTGTTTTGAATATATTATTAATTACAGTATTGATGTTAATTCTTTTTCAAAATATGTTAAAATGAAGCACAGGAAAAGAAGAGAAAGATTATTGATGATAACTCTACAACAACTGTATATACCATGAAATAGTGGGAATTAATAATATGCATTTTTTTTAATGTTTCTTAGGGTGAAACTGGAGCACCAGGCAGACGTGGGTTGACTGGCATTCCAGGAAAACAGGTTTGCTTTTTAAAATTCAAGTACACATTATGATTCTCATAGTGTTTTTCTTCCTTTTCAGTTGCAGAGAGCCCATTATGCCATTGGTAAATAATGTAACTGCTTGTGACTGGTTTTCATATGTGGAGAAAATCCCCAGAAAATTTGGAATTTGTTCTGATTGCCAACCATCCCAGATTTTTTTTTTTCTGCCAAATGAAAACTTGAAATCAGAGAGATCCACCACAGTTAGATTTTGGTTTAATCCTTTACACTTTAACATCAGTATGTATAATTTATACTCCTGTAGCAGCTGTAGTTGGTGATCATCTCCTCCATTCTCATGACTTTCATGTGTGATTCAGGGGTGATATAGTACGGAGAAATTAGATGTTAGTCACTCTCAGGGGCTAAAGGGTTAAAATTGAGAGATGACACTATGTTGTAACCTAACCATTAAGTCATACAATGTTATTAACTAGTGAAGCAATTGTGATTTAACCCTTTAACTCCCAGGATCTGATTGTTAATTCTCCCCTCTAGCTGCTACACATTTCCTTGTAAATAAGTCACAAGAATTTGGTGTTACATCAAGGCTTCTAAATCCTACTTGATAAGTTTGTGTATTCTCATTAGATGTTGGCAAGATAATGAGTGGATGTTATAAGGATAATCACTTATGGTAGTTAAAGGGTTAAGGAGACAAGCCAATAGAGGAAATAATTAACAGAGTTGTCACTAAGTGACTTTGTTGATGTACCCCTGTCAAGTTGTTGTTGATGTTCTTGTTGTTTTTTTTATTAATTCATTTTTCCAAAACAGGGAAGGCAAGGTGAACGCGGAGAAAGAGGACAGACTGGTGCACAAGGGTCCCAGGTATATATTCAGTTAAAAAAATTGACTTCCGATTCAATGTATAATTACTATACTCAAAGTAACGGATCAAAAGTGTTTTGTGGCATTTTTTTTAAGTGGTGGATGTGATGAATCATTGTTACAACTTGTTTTGTTAAATCGCTTCTGTTTGTATTTTTGTTTAGGGAGCCCCTGGTAGTCAGGGACCACCAGGTCTACCTGGAAAGCCTGGAGAGACTGTAAGTGCCATTATCTATTAATAGAGAGTGTGATGTACCACAATGCTGTCTTATGGTGTGACTGCTGTGAATATGAAAGCAATCTTGGCAGTAATGAATGCTACTTGAGCAGCAGTTAAAATAAGGCCTGAAAAACGGGATTTGAACCCATGACCTCTGCAAAACTGTTGCAGTGCTCTACCAACTGAGCTAACAAGCCAACTGGGAGCTGGTCATTTAAAATTTAATATTTTCTTGAATTAAACTCATGAAATTATGGACTTTCTATATTCAGCATGTGAGTGGCAGAGGTTCAACTCTGTAATAAAAACACCATTGCTTTGAATTTTTTCTGAGACAATGGTATGATAGCTCTTCACCAGCAGTAGTTTCCCCCTCCCAAATTGAAATGCTATGAAGGAGATAAGGCATAAGAATTTAAAAGAAGTATAAAAGAGTCAGTATTGTTTGATTTGATACCAAATTCTCCTACCTGACATCATCAGAAATATGTGAAAGATGTTCAGGAGAATTACTACTAAAATCTTTGAAGTGAAATGGATAGTTTTGTCATTTTAGGGAGCATCAGGAGAGAGTGGAGTGGATGGAACTCCAGGAGCAAGGGTATATTCTTCTTTAATTTTTTCAAATAGACCAAAATCAGTGGTCATTGCTTACTGCTCTGAAAAATTGTTCATGTATAGCTGCAGGACATTTAATCATGGGGGTACTCTCTCAGAGCCCTGTTATCCTCGACAAAACCAGGTTCAAGTCATTTACTATATCATGTACTTATTTACAGGGTGAAAGAGGCCCTCAAGGAGATCGTGGACCTCCAGGTGCTGCTGTAAGTATTTTTTTTTTTCACCTTGATTTCTTGAATAATCAAATCTAATTCTTGGTGCTTTGAGTACCAGTAGGACTGTCTATGCTCATGCTTGGAATTTGGTAAAGGAATAGAAGAGATGTGAATTGATTCACAATTTGATTTGCATCAAGTTTAAATTTATGGATATTCGATTAATATTATCTATTTATTTTGTTGTATATTTATTTATTGATATCATTGTATTATCTCATCTACATAGGGTGCTGCTGGAGACCCTGGTGAGCCTGGAACACCTGGTGCTGACGGCAAAGCTGTGAGTCATAAATGTGTTGTTTTCTGAATTACTGCATACTACTGGCAGTAAACCATGCATTTGTTAATGATCCTTACATATTACTCGCTCTTAGTTGTGCGATTTATTCACAAATTGCACCAGTATTTGCTTGATATCCCATCCCAGAAGAGAGCGCTGAAATGCAATGTCCAACCACTTTGCTTGTCTGAGGCAGTGCATCAGACTACAGGAATAGAAAAGACAAAACAGCCATTTTGTGGTCAACTTTGCAATTTTTAGGTCAAATCTTTGCACTTTTGGTTCTCATCAAAGTTATAACTGCAACTTTCAGCTCCAAGTTTGAGAAAAGCATTAACAGAATTGTAACTCATCAGTGATGATAATTATGACAAATTGAAGGTTAATTATTTTGTTATGTGTATTTCTGTTTAGGGAGAGAGAGGTCTTCAAGGCCCACCTGGCCCAGCTGGTTCCCCTGGTCTGGCTGTAAGTACATGTTCACTTGTCATATTTGTTGTCTTAATTTTGGACAGGAAGTTCTTGATATGTCAATACTATTGCTGTTAAATAGCTTAGTCTGCAGCAGATCCTGCTCAAACTATTCTTATGTGTGTTTTGCATTGCCTCTGGTCCAGCACTACCGCTCAAATCTTTTAAACCTCCTGAAAGCCTGTGTCTCTGTCTCTCTCCAATCTTACTGTGGCTGCCTATTTTAGTGGTTTACCTTTCTTTGTTTCTCTCTTTGGGGGAGGGGGAGGGGGTTTCTAAAGCTTGAGTGAATTATCTCTGAACTCAGCATGACAGATGTAGTTTCCAGAAAGCCATTTTCTTTGTCTTCCTTTTGTAACCTTGTTTGCAACTGGAGGTGATCCTCAAGTTGCTAGCTTGGAAGCTTTTGCCTATGACGTAACCCAAGCATGATTTTAAAATACATTCAAATTTTTTTTATATTAATGTTGTTCATACTCTCTTAAGGGTTTACCAGGACAGCAAGGACGACAAGGGGCCACTGGAGCAAAGGGCTCAAAGGTGACTTTACATTCTGATCCTTAACTGAAGAAAACCTTTCATGAACTTTGCTAATGTGGAAAAGTAAATACTTGATCCAGAAAATTGGAACATAAGTAGAATACTAGTAGAATTGTGTGAAAATTCCCAATTCATGATTGATGATAACATTGAACATTCCAATCTTACAGAGGTTGTAAGCTTATTCCCAAGAATTGGAATATTAGTTTGGAAACCATTCCCCTCTGAGATCTGAACCTGGAGGAAGGATTTTAAGAAAGTTCATGTACCCCTCTGAGGATAACTTTTAATGAATACTCCAGTCAATAGAGCATTTGAAAACAGATTTGAATTTAAGTAAGCAGACATTTGTGATTTTTTTTTCAAATTATTTTGTTGACAGGGAGATGGTGGACCTGTTGGAGAACGAGGGCCTGATGGGAAAGATGGAGAGCCGGTATGAAAAAGTCCTAACTCTTGTTTTGCTGTTAGATTTGTTGTTGTTTTTGTTCAATTTTAGTTTGCTTGCTTTTGGAAGTAGTAGTAGCTTTTTGTCAACCTCTACCTAAGAGAAACTTTGTGGCAACTTTCTGACACTTGATTTTATGAAAAAGTTGACAAAAATCTCACTTCCATCAATCAAAACATTAGCAAAACTTAATGAACGACCTAATAGCTAAACAAGAATTGATGGCCACTGTTTTTGTGCACTGCACAAATCACACCATCAGCATTCCTAGAACCTCTTGTATTTACTTTTACCTAAAATCCATAAACCTAACAACCCTGGTTAACCCATCCTAAAGGCCTGCAGTTGTCCCACTGAACTTGTTAACTCGAAACATCAGCTTTGAAGCTCTCAATAGGGGTCAAATTACATTATCAACTCAGTTGATAAAACCAAATTATTTTGTTTTACTCCTCCACTGCTGCAGCACCTCAGTTTCTCTACTGAGAAACCTACCCCCTTTACTCTTTGGGCAGGTTGTTTGACAATGAAGCCAATGCTAATTTTTTTGAACTGCATGTTAAGTTAGGCTCTATTCAGATTCCAGGCTCTTTAAGAACTGTAACCATCCTAACATTTTGTTCATTTTGGATTTTCACAGGGACAAGATGGAATGTCAGGACCTCCAGGACCTCCGGGCCCACCAGGAGAAAAGGTTAATTTTTTAAGTCAAATTTTGACTGCATTCTAATTAACAAGTAGACTCCATGATGCTGTGCCTCTGTTCAAACATGATAGTGATGTTTGAAAGTTGTTTTTGTATTGCAGGGTGAGGATGGTGTGAATGGTCAAGATGGCACTCCTGGTAGCCGGGGTGACACTGTAAGTTGTTAGGTTATACTGTTACTGTATGCCATACTTTACAATGTCAAGACTCAAGTAAAGCAGTGATCATCCCAAGTGGCTGAATTTTTTAGCAATTGTAGAAAAGAAGCCTGAAAAATTCAGGTTTTGAACCTTTGCTTCCTGGATACCAGGTGAGCACAGCTACCAAATGAGATACAAAGCCACGCCCTCTCTTAGTCTTTCCCTTCATAGTTTTACAATTGTTTATAGTAAAATTGGGAAAACCTCCAGGAAAAGGAGTTATTCAATTTGAATGCAGACGTCATGTTTTTTTTATCCACACTTTTTACTTTAATCTGGGGGTTATTTTAACAACAAATTTATTTCAATTTATGAGAGGTGAGTCATAAGTGTATGTTGCATCAGGTGGCCAAAACATTATTAAAAATGGAATTTAATTGATTATATTTTAGGGACCTCAAGGTCCGCCAGGAAATCCCGGTCCACCAGGGAGACCAGGACAAATGGTAGGTACTACATTATATTTAAAAAATTGCTGTAGGGATTAATTTATATGATTGTTTACTAAAAGTTTTTGCTTTATTAAGTTAATTGTGAGTTCGATTTGATTTCAAGGGAACTGGGGGACCTCCAGGACCTGTTGGCCCTCGTGGACCACGTGGAGATACGGTATGACAGCTTTTATCTGAAGATAATTCCTTTTTTATTAAAAATGCTCATTCAATATGCTGGATTCCTTTTATTTTGGCACCCTAAGCCTCTGACAAAGGTGTTATAAGGATCATGAAAAACTAAAAGCAATCAATAATAACAAATTTTAATAAATTTAATACTTATAACGCGCATATATTCATTTAAATATGCTCATATGCGCAAAGAGTGAAACAAATATTCCAAATAAACATAGTGTTTGAAAATTCCAACTGGCTGGAGGCAGACCAGTTAGCTATTCACACAGCGCAGCTGAGGGGTTGAACTCGGGGCGACCGAGAACAAATCCAGTGAGTAGTAGGGAGGAGAGAGAGGAGGACTCGAACCCGAGACCAGCTCATTATAGCGCCAGTCCAGCGCCTAAACCACTCGGCCACGCCGCCTCCTAAATTGAACAATTTGTGTATCAATCATCTACACCACTAACCAGCTATGTAGCATAGAAATTAGCCTTAGTGCTTGCCAATATGAATGCATTTTTAGAATGACTTAATTTTCTATTGCAAACTTCCCCATCAGTGGTGATTAATATTTATCGTTACTTTTGTTTATTAAAGGGTGTGAAAGGACCTTCTGGACCTCCTGGACGGCCGGGCCCCACTGGAACACTCGTAAGATATTCTTTCTTTATTTTTTCAATTTTTAAGCTTTCAGACAACTACAGCTAAGGCCATAGAGTGAAAAATATTCTCACCAAAACCTTAACCTTCCAAGTTGTCCCAACAGCCGTTTGTAGATTTTTTAAGGTACTTGATCTAAAAATTTCGGACCTTTGCCTTCCAAGTTGTCCCAACCGTCGTTAGAAGTTAATTTATGTACTCGGTCTAAAAATAGTCACCAAGACCTTAACCTTCCCAGTCGTTAGTAGATATTGTAAGTACATGGTCTTAAAAAAAATCTTACCAAGACCTCGACTTCCCAAGATCTAACTAGTTATTCTCCCCTCAAGCTGGTAGACATTTGCTTAAAATTAGTTCAGAAAGCTTGGCGTCAGTTTACGTCAGCAACTCAGTTGTAATACTAAATTACCCTGTTATACTCTCCCACCGACGCATCATCACAGTTTCTATAGAAACTTACTTCCTTTATACATAGCAATCCCTTTTGTAACAAAGGTGGTGTTAAATTAGTTTTTGTTGGCAATCTGTTGATATGTCTCTGATTTCTGCCGTCCTGTCTACAGGGCCAGCTTGGTGCGCCTGGAGCTAAGGGAAGACAAGGAGATCAGGGACAGCAGGTAAAATGCCAGGCGCTAGAGGATATAGAGATTATTCCAAGGAAAGTACGCACGCACGCACGCACGATTTTTATTCACGAGTTGCGATGCATCAAAAAAACGAACGAGTGAGCGAAACGAACGAGTGAGCGAAACGAACGAGTGGGTTTTTTGATGCATTGCACCTAATGAATAAAAGTCGTTCAAGCACTTTCTATGGTATGATGTTTTTATTTCATCCATACTGAGATTTTTTCACATTTCAATTCAAAGATTGAAAGCGAACGACTGTGAAAATACGTCGTTCGTCCAATCAGACACGAACGATCATAGTACTTCACAGTGTCAATCTCAGCATGTATGAAATACAATTTTGTTCTCGGATGAACTGAAATAACAGCATATTTCCTGTTTCTAAGATACAATGTGTTCACTGGGCGTGGTAAACTTGTGAAGGTGGTAACTTGGTAACTTACTATCATGATAACTTGTTAAACAACATGGTGGTCTTGCTTATTATGATAGGGTTTTTTTTTTTTTTACGTAACCAACACACATTTAAGGTCAAATTCTGTTTTGTTTACTCTTGTAAGTTCCAGGGTAATTGTGGTTTATATTCGGAGTTTGTATGTATAGTTCGTCACAATTACTAAAACCAGTTTGATTTTTATTAATTACGTAGGGAAGTCCAGGTACCCAAGGACCTCCAGGAAAACCAGGACAACCAGGCCCTCCTGTATGTTTTCTACACTATGTTCATATTTCAGTGTTTTGTTTTGAGCACACACACACACACACTCACTCACATACAATGAAGTATTAACAGAACATTAAGAAGGCAGGGTAAGCTGGAGACGCCATCAGGACTAATATTGCCATCTGTAGAACTTTTTATTTGAAGAAGGTAATCTTTAGGTGAGATAAAAAAAAAACAGTAAGAAGAAAAATCGAGAAAAAGGAAAGTAATAATAAAAAAAAGGATACTCAAGCATTAAAACAGAAAGCAAAGTGCTCTTAGATTATGAGAGACGACTTAAATTTGGAAGCAAACATCGCAAGAATAAGAACACTCTGAGCTTTATTCTTTAAAATATGAACTTATCGCTGTTTTCTTTTAGATTTGAATTCACCCTGGTATGTGTGTTCTTTCTAGGGACCTCCAGGAAATACCGGGCCATCAGGGAGAGATGGTGCAGATGGGCAAAAGGTGAGCGACAACTTAAACTCATTGATCAGTATCACAGCGCGTTGATGAAGAAATGTAGTTTTAGGAAATAGTGAAAGTGAAAGAGAATGTTGTCTTCGTCTGAATGAAAAATAGGTTAGACCGTCGAAATTCAGTCGAAAACTTCTGAAATCTTTCACGCTGTAGGAACGCTTTTCCATTAAAATGCACATGAGCTGAATTGAAATTGCATCAATAATTCATCCAGTTTGAGAGGTTTGATTGGCTAAGAGGCGTAAAAAGCCATATATATAAGCTTCTGGTTAGCCTGATAGCTCATCTGAATTATCACATCATGTTTATTACTGTTAAAACAGTTCATCATTGTTAAGGGATGAACTAAATTAAATTAAATTCTGGAATGTTTTTACAAGATTTCTATCGGCAAGGAAACCTGCAAAACACGAATTTTTCAATATAATATTATTGGCGTGGAAAGTTAAGTAATATTTCTTCATATTCTCTTGATACTCCTGAAAGTAAATTAAGATGTTTGTTAAAAATGTAACACCTTTTTGTGTGTTTTAGGGTGCAGCTGGAGAACCAGGCCGATCTGGTAAAGATGGCTTGCCTGGGCTTCCTGTGAGTAGTTACTTATTTTCTCCTCTGATGTCAATACAGAAATACTGTGGCTCACCTTTTACCGCTGAATTTATTTTCTGCTGCCACTCTCTAGGAGTGAATTTTGAGACCAGCAAGTCTGGCATACATGTGAAAAGTTTGGGTTTCGAGTTTGTAAATAGCAATCTTCATAAACCATATAAAGTTCAAAATTTCTTGCAAAAGTAAGATAGTAACAAAGCAAACATCTAAATTTCACAAATGGAATCACGACCGTGCAGTTGTTGGAAATAGAAGATGGTATGAAAGTGAGATCGCTTGCCTCCCCAAGTTGTGGTGCAGGTTTGATCGCTGATCGTGACATCACTTGTGGGTTGGGTTTGTTCTTAGTTCCAATCTTGCTTTAAGGTTTTTCTATAGTTTTCTTCCCTCCTTTCCTCCCCCCCCCCCTCCCCTGCAAAAAAAAAACCAAATTCAAATGCATAAATCTCAATGATTGTTTTCATTCATTTGCTTGTTGTGTAGTAGACTTCTAAACTCCAAGATGGTTAAATAGAAAGGAAAGATGGCATACGTTTTTCCAGACATTTCCAGTACTCTATGCACCAGGGGGGGGTTGCAAAAGTTGAAAGAAAGTGCTAAAAATGTCTGTTTCCTTGTTGTCAGGGTAACAATGGAAAAGATGGTGAGCCTGGGCCTCCAGGTTCTGATGGTGGACCGGTGAGTGGTCAAACAGGAGTAAACCTGTTACTTCATATGCACTTTGACAACTCTTTTGACTTATTCTTTGCATATTAGAGCAATTTCAATTGAGTGTCGAAAGTAATCCAAGGCTACATTTGTTTTGCTTTCACTTTGTGATTGATCCAGAATATTCAGGCGGCCACCCTGTCCAAAAATCACATGCAAAACTGAAGCTAATCATGACTTGGTCGTAAGCGTTTTCCCGCGCCTAAGGCAATTTGGTTGTTTCTACTTTAAATTCTTCTTGGATCTTTAAGATGTTTTCCTTTCCTCTGATCGGCCATCGTGAATACCTTGAGTTTGGTTTTGCCATAGACTGGATAAGACTCAACTTTTGTACCTTGCATTTTTCTAGATTTTCTTGGCAGCCGTCAGTTGATAATGATGATGACGACGACTGCTGTTTGCTTACTATAAGGAATAACATTGTTTTTCAACCAATTCTAGGGAGAAGTTGGAGAAAGAGGACCCGCTGGACCAAAGGGAGACAGAGGACCAATGGTATTTAGTCAATATTAACAACATCAACAAAAAAAAACAATAACATAAATAGTTGATAATGGACTGAGTGGAGTCGAATTCGGTCGGTAATTATTCGAGTGATTAACAAAATCGGACGACAGCGAGGCTGAAGTCCGGTTTGTTAAAAAAAAAAAAAAAAAAAAAAAAAAACGTCTAGACATCGGTTATCACGAAAAAAAAGGCCAAAATACAACACAAAACTTGTATGCGCCCAGATTCCTTGTGTTCCCATAAACAACGGCCACAACGATTTTTATACGAGGATCTATCCGGCGATTCGAAATTATAGAAAAGCTTAAAATACTTCGCTAAAATAAAACTACAAAAGACACACGTAGCATGGGAACCCTCGCCCCAGCTAATTTTCAGCGGCGCTCTGAAATGTATGTAAAATCAGCGAATTCAACAATTGTTTTGCTTTATGTAGGGACCCCCCGGCACGCCAGGAGTTGGAGGAGGTCCAGGACCACAGGGGCCCAAAGGTGACGCAGGCCCTCCAGGCCGAAATGGACGCAGCGGTGCACCAGGAGTACCTGTAAGCTTGGCTTTAATGCAGTAAAGATCGTTTGTAAATCCCTCGCCCTCGTTTCCTCTCGCTAAAAAAGCGAATTAAGGAAAGAAAAAAAAATAAATAAAGCGCCCGTACCCAGGCTGGAAAAAGAAGGGATTCTAGAGCTGTTGCCCTATCTTCGTTGAGAACACTCAAACTGAGGAAAACCGCAACAACCTTTATTTTGTTCAGGACCTTTAATTTAGTCATAATTTCTAAGTATAGAGAGGAGACAAAGAAAATGTCACTGCTTTTGGTCCTTAACGATGGAGTGTACTTGCTGGTGTTTGCCATGTGCATAGGCTATCACTCGTAGTGCACTTCTAGTAAATCACATTAAGTACATCGTTTCTTTTGCTATTATTTAGGGAGGTCGTGGCCCACCGGGATCAAAGGGTGAACCAGGAAATCCTGGAGCGGACGTAAGTACTAAGACAGGGTTGAATCCTTACTGTAAACACCGACGTCTTCTCTCTTCCACATCCTCTCTGGATGCCATGGTCACTGCTGGTCCTAGCAGCATGCAGGACGTTTGTCACATGTAAACTTAGTGTAAGGCCTAGGTCGTTTAGAAGGCCCATTCAGCTTAGTTGGGATAGCGTACAAACGCGAAATTAAAACATTCGCGTTTGATCGTGAGACTGTGTTGTTACACTGCCCTTTTCCACCCAGGAGCACTTGCCACCTGTCGATGAAACTAAGCGATTTGCTAAGGGAGATGGGGATGGCCAGTGATTCAATAAACATCCCGTTGAAGAGAGCGAAAATCCTTAAAGCTTTAACTCCCATAAGTGACCAAGACATAATTTCTCCTTATCGATACAATATCGATACAATATCGATACAATATCGATACAATATCGATACAATATCGATACAATATCGATACAATATCGATACAATATCGATACAATATCGATACAATATCAAGCAGATAAGTGATAAGGAAAAAAAAATGTTAATTAGGGGATTGTTAGTCGATCCAATACCAAATTCTCCAAACTAACATCAAAAGAACTGTATGGTAGACAGTAACGAGAATTACTAATGAGATCTTGGGAGTTAAAGGGTTAAAGTTGCTTCTCACGGTGGACATAAGGCAAAAGGGACCAACAAAAATCGCTCAAGTCGAGATTTTGTCAGCGCCTGAAGCTAGCAACACAGGGAACCCAAGCAACCACCCATTTTGGAGTGCTGCTAGCCTGGGGACTTACAGAAACTATTATTTTGGCGTTTTTGATGAAGGGGGAGGGGAAGGGGAAGGGGGGAGCTTGACAGATTCTTGAAGGTTTGGTAAGGGAGGGCTCATTACTGCCCATCCGGTGGCAGGCTTCTAACAAGGCCATCCATTTCACCTTGTCTTTTTTCCTTTGCAGGGTAGCAATGGAAGAAATGGCACGGCAGGTATAAACGGACGACCAGGTTTGAAGGTCAGTATTGTAAGTTACACTTAATATGTACCTATTGCCTGAACAAGAAGGCCGAATAGAGAAGAATATTGCGCACAATGCTCACGTCATGACCGAGGCCTAAACATTTCCCCGTCTGGCGTGACCCGACTCAATGATAAACTTTTTTTTATATGCTCCTTGCCCTTTGTCCTCCTTCCGCGCGTGTAGTGCCGATACTGTCATGTGATCCTTTTCTATTTTCTTAAATTCGTCTGTGATCAATTTGTAGGGAGAGAGAGGTGCCCCAGGAGAACCAGGAAAAGCAGGTAAACCAGGTCCTGCTGGTATTGAGGGACCTAAGGGGGATCAGGGACCCCAAGGACCTTCAGGAGAAAAGGTGCGAATATTTGAAATGTTTTAGTCAAGGTCAAAACAAAAGGAGGAATCGACTGGATTTGTTTTTTTAAACATTTTGCGCAACACCGCCGTTAGGCCAAAATTGACCCTCTTACGCATGCTTGAGGTTTGACCGCGGTGTTAGAGAGAGCTTACCTCTGTCAATCGTGCGTGTGACTTCCCTCTCGCGCGTGTTCGAATCGTTCATTGAAAATTTATGGATATTATGCAGATAAATTCATTGTGGGTCACCCCAGGTATTTAGAGAGTTAAGCCACATGCGAGCAGATGTGCTCTTGACGTAGAAACAAGTATGTAAAAATAGCGTTCTTTAATGAGAAGTCTGAAAGTTCCTTTTTTTTTTTTCCATGTTTAGGGACGTCGGGGAAGAGATGGTGTTCCTGGTAAACGAGGTGCTCCTGGAGCCCCGGTGAGAAAAAAGATTCATAGTTGGAAGCGGAGCTTCATTCTATTTTTATTTCCTGTGCATTTCATGTCCCTGGCCTCATCTTGGTTTTCAACTACATTTATTTATTTGCGATAGTTAGACAGGCTAGCCCAGTTCATCTTTAAAATTGGGTTAAATGGGGGGCGTGTATAAACAATCGTAGTGGGCCTTAAGAAATCCATGATACAGTCAAAAGTTAGTCAAAACTAAATGAAGGTCAAAGTTATTCAAAAGTCTATGATTTGTCTTTTTAATGGAGAAAATTCTGTATTCCCTCCCTTCCACCCACCAGTCCGTCCCCACCTCCCTCCGTCTCCCCACCCGTACTTCCCTCCCTCCCTCTGTCGTTCCTTTCTTTTGTCTGCCTACACTCTTTTCTTTCCTTTCCTTTCGCCCACGCTTGTCCGTTCTTCCTTTCCTTCCTCCGTCTCTCACTCCGTTTCTGCATCCGCTGTTCCTGTTACCGCCCCTCCCTCCCCCTGTTCAGTCCTTCCGTCCCCTTCTCCATTGATCCGTTCCTTATTTATCTATCCATCTCTCCCCTTACTCTCTCGTTCCTTTCTACTTTCTACCCTTCCTCCCTTCCGTCGATATTCGTTTATTTACTCATTCAACTATGAATCTGCTTTATTTGCTCATTTAGGGAAATCAAGGACCCAAAGGAGAGAAAGGTGAAATTGGTGTACCTGGCGAGAAAGGCGACAAAGGATGGACGGGATTTAAGGGAGAGACTGGACCTAATGGCCCACAGGTAAAGCAAATTTTCTCTGATTTCCACTCCAAAGGAGTGGATGGGTTTCTTTCCCTGGTTAGCGCTGCGACACTGAGCCAAGTTCTGGAGCAGATTCGATTTAACCCGTTCTTCAAATGTTCGTGTTTGCGAGAGACACGGCTATTAACTGATTGCTTTGTTTACTCAAAGGGCGACCAAGGAGCACCAGGTGTTGAAGGATCAGATGGACCTCCAGGACTGAGGGTTAGTACCTTTGCGCGTCAAAACCTCGCCCGAACTCCTTTCACGTTTTAAAGGGCCGTTTTTTCTTTGAATAAGCTTCAGAAGTTGTTAGTTGGTGCACGTAGGTTTTGACGAGAAAGAGAAAAAAGGAAAAAAACATTTTTACCGGAAGCAATTTTACAAATAACAGTTTTATCATAGTGGAATGAATGAATGAATGGGTGGCGAGAATCAACTCCTTAGAGAGAGAGAGAGATTTTGCGACTGTCTTTCAAGCTGCTTTTAACTTAATCCTTACACTCTTAGGATGAATTATTGAGTATTCACAATTTGTTGATACCCATTCAAGCAGGAATTTAGAAAATCATCGCAAGTTGGATTTCTGTGCTGACTTACTTGCCGAGGGAACTGATCAATTCTTTTTAATTCTCTGCCATTCCTGCCAGCTTTGCTCCTAGGCATTGATTGGCACATCTGAATTTAGTGAGGATTGATAAGAGTCCAGAGAGAAATGTATGATCAACAATCAGACGAAATAGCTTGCAGATGTCTATTACGAAAGCTATGTGCTTTAGCCACGGTAGATTTTCTTTGTTAAAGAGTTTAGGGAGTATGGTGTTATAAAGAGATTACCCAGCCCCCCACCTCTCTCCTTCCAAAGACTTGTCTGTCCTCATTACGTGTTAACGGGACGGAATTGTGCGGAAAAGTTACATTTTTTTGTTTTGGTCCCCGGCTATAGGGATCGCCAGGAGAAAACGGAAATCCTGGTCCACCAGGAAGAAACGGAACAATGGTGAGCCTATTTGTGTTCGTTTGTCTGTCAATTTGTGTTTTCTTTTAGTTGTAAATGGTTTGCAAAAGCGAGCTTAAATACACTTCAGTAATACCTCGGACATCTCTAATACAGAAGGCAATCTTAATTCCCGTTGCTAAGGATTGCTTCTTTCCCGCACTTAAAATTTATCTATTGTAGGATACCTTAACAGCAAGAAATTTATTGCTCAACTCATAAACTAGTTGAGGAAATAAAGAAAGAACCGCAGTTTTAACACGGTGTTTGCGAATTATTCTTGAAGTTATGGGAAGCGAAGATACTTCCGCTGTAATAGAACGTTTTCCATATGATTGTCATAAAACCCAAATCAAAGAAATCACAGCAGTCGATCAGAGCAAAGACCGAAAACATCACACAGACTCAAAGTGAAAACAAGAAAATTGCTTGAAGCAGGGAAAACGCAAATGTCCAAATTGCGATTGGTTTCAGTTTTTCAGCAGATGAATTTCGAGAGTAGAGTGAGCTATTTATACTCATTACTGAGCGAAGTGCAACAAAACTAAAGCCATTCTGAATTTCTTTCGACACCTCATCAACACTTGCTCTACTACAGATCTGTAATTTAATTAAAGTTGGGAGTCAAAGGATTTCGGCGGGACACAGAACGGTTGAGCTATCGTAGTTATGTATTATCGTAGTTATGTATGTTGGTTTAAACTTAAAACTCTGAACTCTCTCTTCTATAGGGTGAACCTGGCTTGAAAGGACCTGATGGCGACGTGGTATGTATTTGAAATTATTTTAGCCTTATAAACCGTATGATCTTTATGCATAATCGCGACTCTGTTCTCTATGTATTTTCTAAGGTACTGTGAAGTTGAATTCTTTCAACAATGAGCTTCTTTGACTGTTTATTATTTCCTTTATTCATTTGGCCTACCATAATGGTTAATTTAAAGGTGATTCTGTTGAGGGAAAAAGGCTTTAGTCGATCTGAGCGGAAGAAGGGTTCACTAGCTGAAAATGAAACCCGTCTTAATTATTTGATTTTTCTTCATCACTTTGTGCTTATTTTCACTGTTTCCGCGAATTTAATTCTTTGGTGGTTGTTTTTTTTTTTTTGTCCATAGGGAGAGACAGGATCATCGGTAAGTACGCTCTCTCCTGCTTCACCAGGCGGAGTAATTAGGATGTTTCATTTAAGTTTAAGTTTCCCTGAAAGATACTTCCATTAGTGGGACAGTTTCGTATTATCATCGAAAATTGCCTTGCTGGCATTCGCACTGTCGAAAGGCTAATGCTCAAAACTTCAGCCTAAGAATTTCTACGGTGGCCAACTAACATTATCAACTCAGTCGTTAAACCAAATTGTCTTGTAATACCCTCTAAGAACACAACACCACGTTTTCTCTAGAAACTTACCTCCTTTATTCGTTCTTTTGGTATAAATGGAAGTGAGCTATTTTGAAACTGGAATATTATGCTCGCAGCCATGTTGGATGGCATCACGCTTTAATAAATTAGAAGAAGGAAGAAGGAAGAAGGAATGAAGGCTTTGTTTCTGTGATGACTTTATCGAAAAAGTTGAAAACTTTTGAGATTTCTGTTGCCTTAAGCAAGTCATTTTGGTAAGTACAAGGAATGAATATTCAATAACCAGAAAATAATAATTTCCTTTTCTCTTATTTTTTTTCTCATAGGGACCTGAAGGATATCAAGTAAGCACTGAACACATATTCTCTAATATAATTTTTTTGCTTCTAAACAGCGGTTTAAACTTTCTTTAATCGAAATTTTCAATCGATTTGTTTTTAAGAGGATCTTTGTAGTTTTCCGAAATGAATTTTTGTCTGTCATTGTTGCCTAAGACTCGTACTCGTTCTCATGCATTATTAATTACTATTAATCATATCTTTTCAGGGACCACCCGGACCTCCAGGACCTCCGGGACCTCCTGTAAGTTAAGGATTTTAAAATTACTGTACTTCCTTCCCGTTAGAACGATATTGGTAATGATAAAAGCAATGGCAGTGATAATAGCGGAGTTCGGTTCGCGCTCAGCGGAGCACCATACCATTTAAAAAAAAACCTTAAGAAGAGACGACGAGAGCGATAACGATGGGTACTAGTAATGGTTATGATACTGATACCCATGACGATCGTGACAATGATCAAAATAATGAGTAATGTGAACGGTGTTCATAACGATCACTGTTTAGATGACGGTTATAGTTGAATGACAACAGAAGTAGTTGCAGTGGTCGTGGGTAATCTTAAAGTTATCTGTAAAAGAACTGTGAATTAAATCAGGGAATTCTAGGGTGAAAAAATCCCATTGGAAATCCAAATAATGTGCCCATTCTTTTATCCGTATGAAAGATTTAGAGGTTTTCCTTTTTGTCGAGTCTCATAAATTTCCTAGGAAAGTATGTCGCGATACCAATTTCAAATTTTAGGTCTCTTTAATGAACGAAAATCAAAACTTAACTGCCGGATTGAAAGAAGTCGTGTTCTTGCTCCCGCTGTTCTAGTCAAACCTATAAAATATATGTACAACAAAATTTTTTTTGGTTTCAACTTTGAACGGCAAACAATAAGGATCTGAAACACGTCTTCTTGTGTTGTTTAGGGTGAACCAGGTCGTCCAGGATTACTTGAGGTAAGTATTTATGCTTCGCTCTGTAGTTTTGTAAAAAAAATAGCGTCAAATTTTGTTTAAATAGTTTTCTTACTTGTGCCTGATTCATCTCTAAGGAATCATTTTACTGATGATTTTACGCTCTAATCTTTCCTTTTCTTTAGTACTTGGCTATTGCAAACGTTGAAAAAGGTCCATCATTCCGATTATACTCGAGCAATGGAAAGGTAAGGGAAACTTTAATTTGGCCTGAAATGAAGCAATGGAGGACTGTCTTCGTTTAGACTCGAGAGGGTTGGGAGTATTTGTTAAAGTAACGTAAACCAAAGACATAATAAAAGGTTTTCAATAACTTTTTACAAATATCCTAATCGCTAAGCGCTCAGATGAGGGGATTTGAATTCGCAAAACGGTCGCTATATCTTTTACTAGATACTTCTCAAAACACACGCAAATCTTAACCGTCACAATCGTGTCTTCATACTTTCGTTAAAACACACCCATCAACCACTTAGAGTGCGCGTGGTACAACGGTTATATTATAATCCGGGATTCCACTGGTCCTTCACAAGATCGCTTTGTGATTGGTCACAAAACTCGGGCAACCCTCTCAGCCAATCAGATTCAAAACTGAAACCAATTGTGACCCGGAGTTTCTTCTAAGAGTGAAACACAAAACAAAAAGTTAAGCTGATAATGAATAACAAATTCTTGCTTCTGATTCCCACATCACGCACTTTTTAAGAAATGCATTCGTAACCAATATTCCGCCAGGACAGTTGTGAAGAATGTATGGCGAAGGCTTGAGTAAATTTAGCATTCTTTTGTTCATTACAATTTCTAAATTATTTTTCATCGTTTTTTGCAGGAAATGCCAACTCGAGAAATAAAGGTAAGCTATGCCTGAAAAAAGGATCATGTTTGATTTCTAGCCTCCAACTTAATTCTCTCTAATAGTCTTTGTTAGTTTGCGTTATATTGCATTTACTCTTCTTTCTCTAAATTTTGTTTTAAATCTGCCATGTTTTTTATCCTTTAGCCCGTGGATATACTCAGAGGGTTAGATGCAAAAGAAAAAGAAATTGACCTGAAAATAAAACCAGACGGTACCAGGAAATATCCTGCTAGAACGTGTTACGATCTGTTCCTTGATCACAAGAGTTACAAGAGCGGTAGGTTCTTCCTTCATCACTGTTAGCCTGTTCCAGGCTCTCTCAGTCAGTGGAGACTAGGAAAGAAGTAGACAAGTGACAAATGGTTGTTGTGGTCGTCAAGGAAACGCCTACCTAACCCTCGCCGTTTTTCATTTGCCCGCTCTTTCTCTCGTTTGCATTAACCGAGAACATTAAACAGGTTAGAAAGGAGGAGTCATCTTTTGGGGGGATCATCTTAAAACGATTCTTTTCCCCAGGCCCTTACCACATCCTCCTTACCAGTCCTTTTAATATTTGCTCTAATTTTTATATATTACTGTGTTTTTGAAAGGTATGTTCTGGATCGATCCTAACGGTGGAACAATCAAGGATGCAATCTGGGTTTTCTGTGACAAGGGCAAGAATTCGTCGTGTATCTACCCCAAGAACTCGAAAGTAGGTGGCTTCGGTTCTTGTAGAAATGGCTCTATAGTGTACTTTCGTTTGCTCTCCATTATATGAACGGATGACTAGAAGAAATGATTTAATAAAGCTAATTGTCTTTGCTAATATGGTATGTGTTGATTTAGTTAGTCAGCACTAAGCGCTAAATGTGGCCTGCGCTATGTTGTTTTTCTGTTGGTTTCATCGTAGATCTCTGACTTTACAATGGCCAGCGCTACTGTTGTTTTTCTGTTGGTTTCATCGTAGATCTCTGACCTTACAATGGCCAGCGCTAATGTTGTTTTTCTGTTGGTTTCATCGTAGATCTCTGACCTTACAATCAAAGTACAATTTCAAGACAAGGAAGACAAATGGTTGAGCCAAGCGTTTAAGGAAAGCGAAGAGGTAAGCTTGGGAGATGTCTTTGTCACTATCATGCAGTGCCGAGCACTGCATGAGACACTTGACAATTTCTCTTCAATTAAAAAGCAGTATAGAACTATCACTCTTGTTACACGATTCCAACTTGCTCCTACTGAGAGAGAAAACAGGATTAGGTCCACCTGACTAGAATGTACCAATCAGCCAATCACAATTCTTGTCTCCTAGAAGTCATTATCCATATTCGTGGCTGTTTGGTCATTTTTGACCAAGTGGAACTAATCCTACCCTTTCACTGGCCAACAAGTTGTGTGAGCGAGCTTTACGTCTTCAAAAGTTGCGAATTCTCAATTGCGATTCTTGTTTGATTTCAGACCGAACTGCTGGAATACGACGCCCACTACACGCAGCTCAACTTCCTGAAGACCTTTAGCAACTTTGCAAATCAGAACATCACCTACGCCTGCCGTAACTCCATGGCCTGGGAAGACGGAAGATACTCAATCAAACTCAAGGGCTCTAACGAAATGGAATATCATGCCACATCTAAGACCTCACTCAGACCCAAAGTACTCTCCAACGGTTGCATGGTAAGTGAAAATCATCGCTACCTCTTCCCTCCCTCCCTCGTCCCGCCCCCCACTCCTCTAGGTACAATAGAGCACTCTCTCCACCAGAATTGAAAGTGCGGTGGCCTAGTGGTTATTGCGCTAAACTTCCGATCAAAAGGCCTGGGTTCGACTTCAGGGCGGGTTATTGTGTTCACGGGCGAAGGCCCTTTACTCTTAAAGTGCCCTGTGAACTGTTAGAGAAAGCTGACAAAATCCCGTGCAAGGGTGGTTAACCTATGATAGACTAGCATTCCATGGGAGGAGGGGAGGGTAGCCATACCTCTGTTCGTCTCACATCAGAGGGAATTATGAGCTGTTTAGCCTTCAAGACTGAATACTTTTCCTCCCATTGAGAATTTTTGTTTCGTGAAGTATCAGTGTCGTCAATCAGATTTCAACCTTTTATGTGCCCTTATTCACCTGGAAGTTTTACCATTTAACGCGGAAATGAGTCTCCATTTTACCGGAAGTGTGCACACAAAAGTCATCGATAAAAATTGTTTTGATTGATTTTTACAGCAAAGTGATTCTACGGGCAAATGGGAGAAAACAGTTCTAGAGATTGATACTAGAGAGAGGAATAGACTACCCATCATGGACGTTTCAGCCTATGACATCGGCGGAAAAGATCAAGACTTCAAGCTTGAAATTGGACCAGCCTGTTTCCATCACACCGTCCTTTCTCGTACGGCTTAGCTTTTGACAACCACCTGTATATTGTGTTTTAATATAAAGACGTTTGAAGACAATGGCAGTCGATGGAACGTAGGAATTAAACTTGAGTTAGATGTAGCTGAGAGAACTTATATCAGGCCTCGCTAGGCACTGCTTTGCCCAATCACAAATATCCTCCGAATCTGAATAAAATTTTTTCTATTATATTTGTTGTTGGTATTTACTCAGTCTGTCATTGCAGTTTAAAAGTTTTATTGATGTGTTGGAAATGAGTTTCGTTGCCATATAAATACACTTAAAGCTCACTCGTATTTTATTTTTGTCATCAACAAATTTTATAGTAAGATAAGTGAAGTTATGATGTCTACAGTGGTAGAATTAGAAGCTATGAAAGGTGAGCTGTATTAATAAGACAATAAAGCAAAATTGGTGGCCACACCAATGAGGATAACCTTGAGTTCCATTGAATCTTACAAACTATTATTTGAGTTGTCGAAATTTTCTCCCTGATAGTGAAGAGCAACTTCAAAAACAAACAGCAGACATTCCCAACAGGAACAGAATTGTAGATTTCTAACCCCCATGGAAAGTCTTCGCCTCAACCTTTTTGTCTCTCAGTTTTGATACGATGAAAAACGTACATGATACAGGGGGAGGGGGGGGGGTTAATTCAGTGCGTTTTTTAATCTCCTCCCTCCTCTCAAGAATAGCCTCTTAACCCTTAAGAGTGACTAGCATCTAATTTCTTCTTACAATATCGCCTCTGAATCAAATATTGAGGTCACGAGAAAAAAGGAAATGATCAGCAACTAAAGAAGCTGTTGATTTTTACACAAATTCTCCTTACCAGCACCTCAGGGAATGTAAGGTGAACAGCATGGGTTATATCTTTACTGATGTTAGAGTGTAAAGGGTGAAAGCAGGACCCCCATTGCAAAGTGTCAGTCCACTTGCATTTCAAGTTCACTTATTCATCTCGGTCTTTAATATCACAAGTTTTACAACCAAAAAAATTTTCACTAAACTCTGTATTCATTAAAGCTGGGCCACAGACCAAAAAAAAAGGAAGAAGCGACTGACATTCGGCCATCCCGTATTAAGGTATCTCTGTAGCAGAAGAACAAAGTGGTTATTTTCGTAGCGTGCGGGCAAACCCTTCTTATTAACGCTTTGGTACAAGCGTTTATTCGCCCGCGGGAAAATATTAATCTCTAAGCAAAGCGAGCACCGCAAACCTCTCCGCGACTTGTCTCGAATATTCCAGGGGCGGAGAAACGCGCGTTTTGCAACGCTACTCGCGGACTACTATTTTCTGCATTCTTGTGGTTACTCATTGCCTAAATTGTCTTCTCAGTGTCCTTTAAGAACTAAGTGCTTGAATAGGCCTCTCAGGAATCGTTGGAGTCGTAATGTATGCATTCATGGAAACGCACGTGGAGGCTCCTCACGCGAGAGATCTGTTGACCGTTCCCGTCAAGGATGACGAACGACTTAGAATACTTTCTGTGTTGTCATATATAAAGCTTACGCTTTGTTCAAAATGGCGGGCTTTCCTTTGGAATAAAATGTGATAAACTTGCGTGAAATAACAATGTCTGACAAAGAGAGCGATTGGAACGTACCAAGTAGTGACGGCGAAGAGGACAGTGCTGAAGCTGTACAAAGCCAGAGTGGAAAGGAACGGGAAATTCCACTAAATGTTTTGCGACTTTATAGCGAGATCGAGAAGAACGGGTATTTAGAATTGAAAGTTAAAGAATACAGAAGCGGTGTAAACAACGTGGTCAGCGAGGCTAGAGAGCAAGAAAACGAAGAAGCTGAGGAACTTGATGAGGCAACTGCTGATATTAAAACTACTGAAAATGATGAGACTCCGGCTGTTCCCGCAACAGATAAAGATAAGTGAGTTTATGGCTGAAACATTTATGAATATTAAGCCTTTGAGAATATTTTGACAATATTTCCATATAACCGTATACTTCGTAATGTATACAGATCTACGATAGAAGAAATCAATGGAAAAAGCGCGTAGTAACTGAGAGACTTGTCAAATTATGTTATGATCCATCAATTGCTTTTGGTCGCGCGCAGTTGGTCTAAATGGATCACGTGACTGAATATTATCCGGCTTAAACTGGGAGATATCCGAGGATATAACCCATAGAGTGATATTCCCCAATTTTCAAAACTCATGTCCACTTCATTAAGTCTCAGTTTAAAATTTTATTCGTGATGAGAGAGTGTTGTATGGCTGTAATGTGCATGAAGTTGTACCAGAGATTGCTCAAGAGAGAACATCCCATGCAGCAAAGAGTGAGCTCTTTGAAAACATTTTTTTCTCGGGCGTTGTGGAATATTTGAAGGATTATAATTTGTCTGTGGACAAACATCCATGCATATTTTTTCACCAAATAGAGGTTATTATTTATTTATATACATTGTGCACAACCCATCCAATGACTGGTAATTAGTTTATATCACTCAGGCAAATAGTGCCTTTCAGGCATTTTGATAGGCTAGCTTGGAGGTGATAAGCCAAGCGCTGGTCATCTCTGAGCAGCCAAAGAGAAACAAACCAGCATCCTGTTTTTCTTCAGTTTCCACAGAAGAGAGTCTACCAGACATCTATGGATCACTGCTCTATAGTTATGATTTGATCATGGATAATACTGTGTAACTGTGATTTGCTATCAATGATCTTCTTCTCATGCATCATTGTTTCATTCACATAATGTTTTTTGCAGAGCACATGAACCCTCAGCATTTGATTACACTGAAGAGTCCATAGATGAAACATCTCTTATAACAAGAAAAATTCCTAAGACTGGTATGAAAAATTTTTTTTGTGTATGGTTTGTTTATTGTTTAGTTTACACAATAGTCAAAGGTATATCTGACCTGTTTAGAAATACCATATTTGTGTGAAGAGCCAAATAAAAGTAATAAAAAGGTGCTTAGCCTCCTAAAAAGTTATTGGGAATTCAACAACAGAGCATTGAAATGAGATATTCTGTCTCAGGCTTGTGACAGAACAAGTAACAATGCTAATATATACCCTTTTGTATAGAATACTTTAAGCTTTTCTTCTTATTTTTTTTCAGGTCTCTTTTTTGGGTGGAGGGTGGGAAAGCAGGTTAGGCCTTGTAAGAGTTAAGGGGGTAGCTGGGGGGGGGGGGTAGTGGGGGTCCTGAGGTGCCCGTGAATCTCCCTCTGTTAGACTTTTTTTGTCACTTTAAGTAAAACAAGGCATGAAGGTTGACATATCAATCTGGTAAGTACTTTCTGTTTGATGCAGTGTGACCCCCTTTGAAAATCTTGGCTACACCCCTAGGAGTGTTTTAGTGTTTTGCCCAAGAACACAATATGAAGAACCAGCCAGGTCTTGAACTGTGACCTTTTAACCCACCACTGAGCCACTGTTTCTTACAGCGTACACCTATTCTCACCTTGTACATTTCTCATCACCTTGCAGAACGGTTACAAAGAAAAAGAGTTGGAACACTAGAGAATGTCATTTCTGATTTAAAAAGATTCAGAGACATGGACAATAAGGAGTCTACAGACACTGATAAAAATGCCATTCCACCTGAAACAAGAGCTGCAGCAAATGAAGAGCAAACAGAACCCCAGGAACATGGTCAAGAACAATAAACTTTTGTTTTTCTCAGATGGTATCTGGAAAAACAGTGCAACAAACCACATTTCATAGAAACCACAGATCAGTCTAAAATTTGTGGAAATATTTTAATCAGAGGAGAAATGTATGATTTTAACAAAGAAATCATACTGGCCAAAAGTCAGATCAATGTGAAATTGGTTGAAGCTATTGGAAAGTTGGGACAGATAGCCAACATTAAATTTTTCTAGACTTGAGTCAGAAAATGCAGATAAAGGAAACAGTTTTAATCCATTAATTACACTCCAACATTAATATGGATATGTCCCATACTATTATCTAAAAATTTCCTATGGAACCTACAGGGAGAATCTGTGTGATGATCAAGAGCTTTTTCAGCAAGAGATCATTTCCTATATTCTTGTATCCTTTGTTTGATTCATGGCTGACTCTGTAAGGAAAAATTTAATGTTGGTGACTTTATGGTATAAAAGGGTTTAAGGCTTATGGGAGATTTTTTTATAAAAATGTGAGAGATGACAAATCATTAACTCTGGCATCTCAAATATTAAAAAAGAAATGTCAAACTTTGAAAGAAAACTCAACTTTTAAATAATACATAAATATCCTAAGAATGTTAACTATATGTAATGAACCCTGAGTTGCTTTCATCCAAACAATAGAATGAAGGTCATTATTGTGTGTGGGTGGGGAGGGGAAGGGAAAGCCATTAGGCATCTGATGGTGGGAGAGGGAAAATCACTATTAGCTTGTTTTCAATAAAACTCAAAATGTTGCCAATCGGTAAAGGAAAAACTCCCAAGAAGTTTTCATGTTATGGGGTATTTTTTTTGTAAGTAATATATACATAATTCCCAACAATTTCTGGTTGGATAACAATGTGAAAATGTTTCGTTTGAATAAAATTAAAGTGTAAATATACACAAATTTTCCTTTAATTAATTAGGTTGAAGCTGTCACTAATACTAAATCAAGCTTAGGGAACAGGATTATTTTATCCAAAGTTTTGCAGTGTAGATGTTGTGTTAAATGGGGAGAATTTGTTGACTGCTTTATTTAAAGAGTGCAGTGCTCTTTGATTAAGTGTTGAAAAACTAAAACTTAAAGCAATTGCAACAGCCAATTAGAAGACAGGAAAGTGCCTTTAAGAGCCAATGAGATCTTAGAGTAAAAACAACCAAACTGCCTTAAGTTGGAAAATTCAGGCGATCAAGTGGAGATTGGTTTCAGTTCCACATCTGATTGGTGAAGAGCTTCATGCGAGTTTTCTTGACCAATCACAGAGCAAAGTAAAGAAAAGCAAATCAAATGTAATCTCAGATTACTTTTGACACTGAATTAAGAGTTTTTCTGTGCATCCAAATGGGAGGGCTGAAACATCAGCTTTTCAAAATTCACCATAATGATTGTTCAGAGGTTTCAATAAAGCTGCTGATGGAGTAACAGGTGGCTGTGTCCAGAAAGACCAGAAAAAGGGCTGTAACGTGAAACCCAAACAAAAGCTCACTGGTAGTTGACAAACAACAATTTCATTTGCCTGCTTACAGAGTACAACAGTTTCATTAGGAAGTTTGCGCACTATTTCAGAATTATTTTCTCATGTTTCAATTATTTATTAAAAATATAACCAAGACACCACTATACACCTAAGTCTCTTGTTGTACTTTTAAACATGGTTCGTACGCTTTTGACTTTCTGACATTCCATGACTTTCCATGACTTTT